CCTCGAAGAATGTATAATAAGCTGTTTTTCTTTCCTGTCAAGATATATCTGCGGTGAATTGTCTCGTTTTGTCAAATTCAGATCGAGTTATCACTGATTGTCTGTTGATTCTTGTCTTGCAAGCTTAGGTTACAACTTGCTAGTGTTCAGAACCAACACTCTTGCGGATGTGCTTATGATTTCATCTTATAATTTTGATGCCTAGATAACTATTGTTCTACTACTACTACCACTACCAGTACTCCCACTACTACTACTACTACTTATATAAAATACTAACGCAGTGCATGTATTTCATGCTATTTATATCTATTGTAATTGGCTCTGAATAAAACTACCTAATGCGGTTGCTGTTGATCATTATTATAGATACTGCCTTTCTTTAATAGAAAATTCGATTTTTTAGCGTAGTATTTAGTTAAATGAGTATCTTATTAACTTGGCGATGATAAAGCAGTATGCTTTTGCTTCTTACCAAATTCAGTACACTATTCAAGTCCTTATTAGTTAATACTCATAATTTGAGACTGAATGAGAGCATAATCACCGTTCATGTGAACTTTAAGAAAGGCAGAGGTAGCAGTACTGCAGTAGTCTTAACTGATCATGAGACAGAACAAGCAAACAACAATAAATTGGGTTGTAGTTGATGTCATTCTTAAAGGCTTATTCAGTAACAGAAGAGAAGAATGGTTTTGTTTGTCATTTCTTTAATATTATCATCACTTAATCGGCATTAAGAGACTTGGTTCATTTGTAGAGGAATTATTCTCTGGTACTCTTCGTCTGAAGCATTTGAGGTGCTTATATCTCGTGCTTGCATTTCTCCATGTTAAATTTCAAAGCGATTAATGTCAATTAAAGGTTCTAAATTGTTTTTCCCCCCTCCATATATTTTGCAGCTTCGTGGACCTACCAAATCTTTCTGCATCCATATACAGCACTGAACTTTGCAATAGATTACGTGATTTCCTCATTGCTTGTCCGCCCGCAGGACCTTCACCACCTGTAGCAGAACTTGTTATTGCAACATCAGATTTTCAAAGGGATCTTACCAGCTGGAATCTCAGGTAACTGTTGATGTTTAGAGTATATATAGCCATATTTATCTTGGCAATCAAATTTCTATAACTCTGAATAACATAAACTTTTTTACCCAATTTCTTTCAGTCCTGTCAAAGGCGGAGTAGATGCAAAAGAATTGTTCCACTTGTATATTCTTGTCTGGATCCAAGATAAACGCCTATCTTTGCTTGAGTCAAGCAAACTGGATAAGGTATTGTTTTTAATCTCCTGTTATACTCCTTGATTTATATCATGTATGAATGATGATTTGACCCCATTCTTGGCAGGTGAAATGGTCAGGAGTTAGAACACGACATTCTACTACTCCTTTTGTTGATGACATGTATGAACGGCTGAAAGAAACGTTGACAGACTATGAGGTCATTATTTGCCGCTGGCCGGAATATACCTTGGTTCTAGAGAATGTACGTCAGTAGGGATCTTCATTTCTCCTATTTTGTTGTCCTCTCTTTCTGATCTTTGGGCCTCTTCCATAAATTTGGTATTATTTGATAGATCCAAAAAGAACTGAGAATATGCAAGCTTTAATTGCACTCCTTTTTTCTGGTTTGTGTTAACAGGCCATCGCTGATATTGAAAAAGCCATAGTGGAAGCTTTAGACAAACAGTACGCGGATGTGCTGTCTCCAATCAAGGAAAACATCAACCCTAAGAAATTTGGGCTCAAGTATGTGCAGAAGCTTACCAAACGATCTGCATCCTCCTATGTTGTTCCTGATGAGGTGAGTAGAATATCTTGAAAGTGCAATGTTCCAGACATGTACTTTGTTATTCAAACTTTTGTTGCTTCTTTCAGCTAGGAGTTCTTTTGAATTCCATCAAGAGAATGCTTGATATCTTGCGTCCCAGGGTAGAATCACGGTTCAAGTCATGGGGTTCATGCATACCAAATGTTGGAAACATAGCACCTGGTGAACGACTCAGTGAAGTGACAGTGATGCTGAGAGCAAAGTTCAGGAACTATGTGCAAGCTATCGTGGAGAAACTTGCTGAGAATGTGAGTATCATGCAATAAGTGAGGAAAATCTTATTCTATTCTAAATTTATGATATGATGATTTTCGTAGAGCATTGTACATGAGACCTGTGAAGTGGCAGGCATGATGAGCATTGCTTATTCTAAATTTCTGATGAAACCTCCAGCATATGTAAGTAGAGCAGCAATGCATTCATGATGGTTACGCTTGCATCTAATTGTTTACACTGTTCTGAAACCTATCTTGAATTGTGTTGAAGTACTTTTTGTATATAACTAGTAGTATATACTTTACTGAATTCATAGTGGAATCAAATTGCCCATGTAATCTCTGCTACTGTGAAGTTACTATTTTCGGCACCCTTCTGTTCAAGATATTTCGTTCTTGTTTCACCAAGTTTTCAAATAATGTTCGTCGAGCCACACCTTTGTTCTTAATATTCATGATGCATCGTTTTATGTTTTCCCAGACAAAGTTACAGAATGCCACAAAATTGAAAAAGATTCTTCAAGATTCAAAGGAAACTGTGGTAGAATCTGATCTAAGAGCAAGAATGCAGCCGTTCAAAGACCTGTTGATTAATACCATAGGTCATGTTCACAGTATTTTTGAGACCCAAGTCTTCATTGCCATCTGTCGAGGTTATTGGGACCGTATGGGACAGGTAAGTTCCCTTGTGTGTTTGACTTCCTCACCTTGCTGAAATTGCAGATTTGAGGCTATCGATGTTTATCATCAATGTCTTTGGTATTTTCTGGTCTCAACAGGAAATTTTAAGTTTCTTGGAGAACAGAAAAGAAAATAAATCGTGGTACAAAGGCTCAAGGGTTGCAGTCTCTGTAAGTGTAGTGATCCATTTAACCAGCAACTAATGTTATTTGTTTGTATATAGTGTATGAAAGATAGTGCTGTTCGCATTTTGCTGGATTTGTTTTATTATTTAAAAAATACAAAGAAAAAAAAATTAGTGGTTTCCGTCCATGGTTCTCTCACTTTTCTACCCAAAAAAAAGGTTTCTGTGTGGGTCTATTTGCTTATGAAGACTGTTTGACTCTCATGATCAGATCAAGAGGTTAGAAACTGTGTTCTTCCACGATCCACTTCACTAGATGCTTCTAGAGACATCTCTAGAAGTGAAGCTTGGGATGATCCCTGTATTAGCATTGTAGCGACTAAATTTAGGGTAATATGAAGGGTGCCAATGTGGGGTTTTCGACCTCTGGCATACAATCAAGCTGTCAATGTTGTTGGATAATGATATATCAAACGTTATAACCAATTTAATTCAATGAGTGTGGATCCAATGATTTAGACAACTTTAAATTTTGAAAATTCTGTTTTCTCAGCTGTGTTTCACTTTCTATATCTGTTATATACCTTCTGATCTCTGGCCTGAATATTTCTGTGCAGATTCTGGACGATGCCTTTGCTTCACAGTTGCAGCAGCTTCTGGGAAACACATTGCAAGAGAAAGACCTAGAGCCGCCTAGGTCTATCATGGAAGTTCGTTCAATGCTCTGCAAAGATGCTCCCAATCCCAAGGATAATTCTTTCTACTATTAGGCTTATACCTGTACATACACGGAGGTTAATACGCCATGATAACGGCTTCAGAGGTGATTTTACAAGTGCCAGCATTACCTTTGCTCGTTGGCTTGCTAGATTGTGGATAGAAACGCTCGATTTTGTATAGAGGGCACAAATACTGAATTTATAGTAGCGAGGGGGTCGTCATCAATTTTGTAGGGTAACTAGCAATTCGGCTGCTCCTGGAAAGATTAATGTACTCCCCATGTAGGATGTTTCCCGGTCAATCTATTACTATTGACGCAGCTATGTTATCCTCTTCCTTGGCGCTCTGTGCGTCTGTGTGTGTGTTAGCAGCCTTTTGCTTTCCACTTGATCTATCGCTGGCGATTGGAGATTTGTGGTTTGATAATTGTTTCGTTGTTTGAAGGGTATAATTCTGCGGATTTGTTTTCCTCCTAGCGAAAGACGGAATTTTGTACAGGAGTTTTATCTTGTCAAACGTTGCAACTGGGGACCTGAACGTCACGCCGAATGAAAACGGAGGCTGAACGTCACGCCGAATGAAAGCTTACGCCCCAAGTTACTTTTTGCTCCGGCTATTATGGCTACTAAAACACGCTACTCTGATCCCCTGCCAGCCTCCGCCACCTCCACTCCGTCACTCCCAAATACATTTTATTCTTAGGAAAAATCATAAAAAAAACTTAAAAATAAAAAAATTACAAATAGAAACTCATTATAATATTAGTATGGGTTTTGACAATAATTTTTATAAATAAGACCATGTGTGTAATTTTTCAATTTTTCAAGATTTTTTTTTTGGGGTGATTTTCCTTATTCTTCTTATCAATATAATCTGGCTTTAAAGAGTGTGACAAAGACTTTAATGTGATTACGGATTTGGACCCGAGAAAAAAGGTGGATTCACTTTTGTTAGTTCACGCTTGATTCCAGCCATCCATCTACCTATACGTTGAGTGTTGAGACTAGAATGAGTTCTTCAGCCTTAAAATCAGCATTCCATAAGGCAAAGTCTGTTTCTTTTAAAAGTGTTTAGAATGTTTCAAAAGTATTTTAAAAAAATATTTTCAAGTAAATAAAGATAAAACTTTTCTCATATACTTACTTCAAACACTGTAAAATCGCTTTTAAAACTATAGTTTGATTTTCACCCAAATATTTCTTAAAATAAAAGAGATCCAAATATTATCATAAAAGAGGATCCAAATATTCACTTTTATTCAATTTTCTATCTCCTCTTTCTTCTCTACAATTTTTAAACATCCGCCACAAACATAGCCAAGGTACAAGGGTTTTCGATTAGATTAGGAGCATTTGACGCAACTTGCTTCTTAACCCATGATGCACAAAGTACCGCTCACTGCAAAGACAATGTCAAAACTTAATCTTGGAACAATAATCACTCGATTTTTATTGCTTTCCCTTGAATGATTAAAATTATACAGTTGAAAAGACCACCGAACATTAATATAAAAAAAACACATCCCCAGGAAGTTATCCCCACTCAAGCATTTAGATGAAAAGAAGAGATATTTACAAGATCGAGCTACATCCAAACCAAATGAACTAAGGAGCAAACGAATACAATTATAAACTGCACAGATTGTGGCAGACCACGCTGAATTGCAGCACAAGCATAAATACAGCGTTAATGTACATCGCAACTTTGCTCTAAGCTGCATTGGCGAATTAGAGAAGCTTTGATATAACATGACAAGAAGTCCAGAATGCTTTAGTTGCAACCCTTAAAATAACAGGGTTTTGATATATCCTGACAAGAATGTAAAACAGAAAATTGTCAGAAAGGGGGAAAAACAAACGATAAGGGGCACAGAAGGGAGGAATTATTGCATCAGAATGACTTTCTATAAATACGCATACAAATGTGAATGATCTCGCAAGAAAAGAAAACAAGAAAGCTCCAAAAGCAAGGCATGCCACGTAAATTGATGCAGGTTCCCGAGTATTAACATCTTGCCGGCAGATTCTGGTGGTTTTTGTAATAAGAGAAGGGGAAGGGGGGACCTCTTACCCAATAGCAGTAGCTCCCCAGGATGCAACATTGTAAATAACTTTGCTCCCAGCCCATGCCTTTTGAAGCTTCCCCTTCTTCTTTTTCATTGAAAATGTCTTGCCGAGCGCTATTTAAGACACAAAAAGGAAAGTAAGAAAGTGTTCATCCATATCTTTTAGCTTCACTGGTTCAACAAAAGCATAAACTTGCACAAAAAAGTGCTGCTTATTCGTTGTATGTAGGAATGAAGCAACCGGACTCACCTTCCTGGAGCTGGTTAGGGGTTAAATCCTGCAAAGAGTAAATCAATCAGTGAGAATGATTGTTAACTGGCAAGAAGGAAATGAAACATCACATAATTCCGTAAAAGTGATTGTTAGGCTGCAGCAGCATGAGAAAAGCTTCTAGATCTAAATTAGAAAGCAATGCAAGCCAGAATAGACGTGTATATCAAATGGGGGAAATTCTAAAAGCCAGGGCTGCGAGAGAATCTTTATACATGGTTGGGGGAGAACAATTTGCCAAACTTATTAGGAAACTTACAAAGGATTAAAACGACATATTTTTGGTAAGCTTTGCATCTTAATTGAGATGCAAAAACCATAGGTATGAGTGGGCGTTAGATATCAAGTCAAAAGGTCCACAAACACGAGACCTATTAGTAATGTTAATAGCAGATAGTAGAAGACCCAGTTCTACTTGTACATAACATCAAGAAGTAATTTAAAGCCAAGGGGCTGAAACCTTCATGATTGTCAAGTTACTATCAGAAAATATCATTATGATTGTATTTCAATGAATCTACCATACATCTAGTTATTGAATAAAAAGTGAGAGAGAAAAAAAATTACAGGCCAAAAGCCTCCTGCATGAGAGCGGTACAAATAACATACCTTAGTCTGTTTAAGAGAAAACAAATACGCAGCCATGAAGCAAGCAATGCCCTCTACTATATCTTCTTGTCTAACAAGGACATAATCTTCCTGGTCTGAATCAATATTTTCACCTTCCCATAAATCATTGTCACTGATCACATCCCAAGAATTGCCATCTTCTGTCACAGGCCAAGAAAATTGTTATAGCAATTAAGAAAACGGCTTTTATAAATTCCAGATAAGATAGATATCATCCCAGACAAACATCAATACAGAAATCTTTGTTACGTCAAAACTCAAAACCACCAGGTAGGAGACAAGAATTATATGGGGATGCATACCAGCTGCATTCTGCGAAACTGATGCCTGGGCACACTCTAACTTTTCAAGGAAGGCAGGGCACTCAACCCTAGATTTGAGAAGATCACATAACTGCATAGGGCACATGAAACGATCTGTCAGGAGGGATACTCTCCAACACTGATGCAGTATTTTCCTTAATGAGCCATTAAGTACCATGACATTTAAAGATTCTACCGCATTTACCATGAGGATAAACAGAATGACAATATCAACTGTCAACAACTTGTATCGCAGTACTGTTTATACAAGTCTTTAATAACAGATATTTGTCTTCAAGGGGCATCTACTGAACGCAAGCGGAGACGCCATTTTTTACAAACTTAAACAAGAAAAAAACTCTTCGAAGACAAGTATTAAGCAGAAAAGAGGAACATGACATTAATATCAATTAAACTTGACGTATTATAAACGTGCTCGAAAGATAGATACAACCTACGCCGTCGTAAGTTCAAATAAAGACACAAGTAAGCAAAAATGCTGAAACAAAAAGCTCGGGCTATAGGAAGAAACCGCCTCTTAATCTTTAATAAAAAAAGCTTTCCTTAACTTCCTTTCCTGGCTTTGGAACGTGATAAACTAATTCACGAATCACGATCGAAACAATCCAAACAAAAGCTAGCTCTAAAGAAGGTCAAATTCCCCAGCATTTTATTCAATCAACCTACTCCCATCTCAATCGCCACCTCTGTTCTGACATCAAATCGTCAAATGCTAAAATATCATGGAAACAAAAGCCCGCCTGAAAAAATACCTCTTCAGCTTCTCGATCAGCTCGCATAGAGGATGAGCCTTCAAGTCGACGTTCATCATCGGCCACTAAGGCTTCACCCTCACAACTCTCCACATCGTCACCATCACCATCGGTTGAATTGAGCAATTCTAGAGCTCTCTGACACTGCTCGAGCACGGCCTCCAAGGTCTTCCTCCTGACCAGAACACGATCCTTCTCCGAATTCTCCATCGCACTTTTGACAATGGCCTTCGGATCAGGAACCTCGACCTCCATTGGAGCTACCTCCGACTCGCACGGGTCCTGCAAACAGTTCCCGGCAGCCACAAGTTCCCTGATTCCGATCCTCTTGCGTGGATACTAGGAAACGAAAGCACTATTAATTATTAATGATTAGCGAATTAATTGCGAAATCCCCCTCTGTCCATAGGGATTTGAGAAACCCTAGGAAGGAGAACTGGAAAAGTTTTCCGCGCCTCAGTTGGCGATAACGCTGGACAACAGGAAATTATTGATACAGCTAAACAGACACGTGCTTTCTCGTTGTCTGCGCCATGCAAGTTGCGGAACAGCGTCCGGCGGTGGTGATGGTGGACGGGAGGTGAGACAAAAAGGGGTGGCGGGACCAAGAAGCGTCAGCCTTTTTGGCACTTGATGCCAACTGCCGAGTTTTCCAAACCCGGCTTGCTTTCTCTTCGACTTTTGCTTCCGCCTATCCGTATTTTCCCTCCGCGACCCGAAATTCGTATTTAATGAATCTAACAACGAGTTATAAGTGTTAGTTAATTAATTCAATTTAAGTAAATAAAAAAATTAATTAAATTAGTTATTTATTAGTTAGAATTATTATTTAATGAAACATTTCACATTTATAACTAATATAAAAATAAAAAAAATAAAAAATATGAAAGTAAAGTAAATTAGAAATTTTATATTCAGTACTAAATTGAATGTTAAATTAACTTTTTAAATTGATACCTTGTCATTAATTTGTAAGTTCTTACGATTTTATATGATTTTTAATTTAGTTTTTGAAATTTTTTTATTAAATCTGTAATTTTATTTATTTTTAATCAGGTTTTTATAACTTTTTCTTATTAATTATCGTCCGGTTATTTTACTTTATTTTTAATTAGATGCTTATTATTTTTTACCAACCACCTAAAATTACATTATATCTAATTAGAAAATTGGACAAAGCTATTAATTTTTTCGTTCAGCAGCCAGCACAAGGCACAACATGGAATACACCGAATGCCGATTACCGAGGGACATCAAACTAAAGAAAAATACATGCCAGGAGACCCTGCAATTGACGTTTTGCTTACCATTGCCATTTGAGTTGGGTAATTTTGCCAACCACTTCAACCTCACGTTCACGGCTCCAAAGCACATCAACAATTTTATTGGTTCCGTGTACGTGGAGTTTTCAGATTTCTGTATGATATGTATTTCCCTGCCATCTGGAAAACTCGTCTTTCATGCTGGCGGCTAACCCAGTCTATAGGTCTTCTAAAACCCTTCGTAGCAAATTAAATGGACACCCGCCTCGTAAGTAACCTTTTTATTTTATTTTGAAAATTTGTATCTTCATATTTATCCCAGCATTCAAATATATGATCCGTTTCCTGGCCAAAAAAAATATATAATTGATTTGTTTAGTCGATTTATTTTTTGTTCATCGCGATCTTTCGCGGTGTTGACATTCCAGAAGTTAAGAAAAATATTTTTAGATCAATTTACGGGGTAATGGGTTTATCTCTTTTTAAACTAGATAATTTGATGTTTAAACGAGGCCTGTTTGTTATAAGAACGTCAATTCATGTGGTTATTAATAAAGTGCAGCTAAAAGCTTGACGGGTGCACGGTACAGGAACAAGTCACAATGCCATCACAAAACAGAAACACAAGATTAATAACAACAAGGGAGGGATTGTGGGTCTGGGTCCAATAGCCCATTCACAAGACTTCAAATTTTTATATCTTGACTTAAAATTTGAAGGTTCCAGTTCATGGTTTTTTTTTTAAAACTATTATATATTTACTATTAAACTCAAGTTTATTTGATATATTATCTTGCTTTCTTAATTAAAGGGGTGTTTGGATGAAACCAAACCATGGTTTGGAGAATAACTTCTGCAGAATAGATTCTAGGGATAATAGATTTTGTGAAGAATAGATTCTGAGAAGTGAAAGTGTTTGGATAGTTGTTATCAAAAGCACTTTTTATATATACAGGTTACTAAAAAAGACATAAGTTAATATGATAATTACATAAAAGATAGATTTTATGATATATTTTAATTTGAAAGAATAAAATTGTTAATAATATTTTTTTTCTAACATAATAAATAATACATAAGATAATATAATTAATAAATAATTAATATGTGTGTATATATATTCATAAGATATAAGATTAAATATGTTTATAAAAAAATAACTGAGGGATGTTAAAGTCATATTATTGTTGAGATCTACTCTGACAGGCACAATCATACTCTTCAATTTGAGTCAAAAGCAAAATAGATTCACTTCTCCTGAAACTAAGTTTCAAAACCATGGTTTTGGCCCAAACCATGGTTTCGGATTATTTTTCCAAAATTGATGCTATTTGGGTGACATTCCACCCAAACTATGGTTTTGTCTCCCAAACCATGGTTTTACTTTGTAGTATAATTTGTACTACCTCCAATCCTAATTATAAGAGCTAGTTGACTAATTTGAAAAGATTAAGAAAATAAGTTAAGTTAATTATTTGTAATAAATAGGTGTTGTCTTTTCTAAAATATCTTTACTAATCAAGTATATTAGTTATAACTACCATTATTAGAATGACTACTTTGGAAAAAAATGCATAAATATGAGAAACAAAGTGAATTAGGGTCTTATAATTAGGATCAAAATAAAACTCAAATGAGATCTTATATTAAGAACTGAAGGTAGTATTATAAAAAGAATCTTATATTAAGGAGTAGTGTTATTTATCATATGAGCTTAATTTCGCTCACCTTCTGATGCTTACTAAGCGAATCAAGTTGTGCCATCATTCCTATGAAACGCTCCTAGCCCACTTTCACATGTCCTGCGGGGAGACTTATCACAATTGGGCTCAGGCCTTTCTGTACCTTTTTTTTTTTTGGGAATACTGGGTTCAAGTACATCGACTTTATTACATTTCTGTAGAACTCGATTTTCATCCGGTAGAACCCAAATTTGAAGCCCAAATTGTTCGCCCATATATCCGGAGTTAACTCGCTGATTAAATTACTTGAATAAATTTGCATGAAATAGCCAACGAATGCATGGAGTTCGTGAACTACAACTGGTAAAAAGAAACTCTGGATTAAATTTGTATCAACATTTAAAATCTTATTGATTTTCAAGTGGATCGTAACTCATTTACACCTTAAAATTCCAATTTTATGTAAGATGATTCTTTTATTAAGTTCTTCATAAAATCTTATTATCACTAGTAAAAAAATCGGTAAAAGGTAAATTAAAAATGGATTTTTCTTTAAAATATATCACACGTAAAAACCCAAGATACTGCAGGATGGATCTTCGCGGGGTGGCGGGATCACGGCTCTCACGTCATCTCCAAACATGCGGGGTCAATCCTCGTTTACAAGCCTCGTTTACCCTAAAATCAAGATACAAATATCACTATTTGATTTCGGATTTGTTTGAATCAACATCGCAAAAGTGTTTATAAATATTTTTACGTAAATCGAAATAAAATTTTCTCACATACTTACCTCACATTCTATAAATTATGTTGAAAAGCTATTTATAAGTCACTTCAAACAAGGCTTAATAATGGTAATTTAATTGATTGATGCGCGAAATCACTCAATGTAAAACTCAAAACGAGGCGGGAAATTTAACCCTTTCTTTTTTTCGGTGGTGAATGGGAATCAGAGGCGGCCTTTTAATTTGGTGCGAAGGTAATACACTCTCAAGCCTCAATACCTAGCCGTACTTGTTTTCTTTTCCTCCAATCATGCATTCAATTCTGCATCCAGACAAGGATAGCATAATCAAATCAATCAACATGTCCATTCATTGCGATTTTCATGCCATCACTTAATAATATAATACTAACCAAAATTATGGTGCACAATTTAATTTAAAATTATCAACCAAGGCAAAATTTCGCAAAGTACCCGTGACTTACCCCACTCCAATAATCGTTGTAAATTTCTTTCTATAGTTTCGGTGATCTCCCTTTTTTTCCGGGCCTGATCTCCTCACGTGGTAATAGTATTATTCAGCTATTCTAACTGATAAGCGGTGGGACCCATGAATTACAAAGGCGTGGCCTGGATGCGGGGCCACGTGTCTGCAGGTTGCAATGGAAGAAAACTGTGAAGGAACGAATCAAAAAAACACACGACATCGGAGACGTTGGTGCTGAAGCAATGGAATGTTTGGAAATTATGACCCAAGAAAACTTAGGCCCTTGTATTCCGTCGTCCCCGTTTTTTCCCTCCAACCCGGTGCTTCGTTTTGGAGGGTTGACGTGTACAATTCCCATCGCCGCAGATGAGGAGGACCCGCTCTTTTGTCCTCATCGCCATCGTTTCCGTTTCCTTGCATTTCTGACTCACCATTTGGAAGGTAGACAGAAACGGACACACGTACAGTATCTCTGTCTTCGCTTCCTCCCTTTCTCCTATTTCCTCTCTTCTCATTTCATCCTCTCTCTTCTTTTCGATTTCTGGCAAGGTATGTATGCTACAATGCAGATTGCTGAGATTTTCTTTTTTTGATCTCCATGAATGCTCCCCGAGATGCATTGCTATTTTGATGAATGTGGGTGCGATATTTTGTCGACTAGATGCCGTGACCCCTGCTGTCTTGTCGTCTTGGATATGAATCTGTGATTCTGGGATCACAGACATGACTAACAAAATTCCTGAAGTGTCTCAGGTAAAAAAGTGATAATCTCCTTTCACGGGAATAAAGGGATCGTTTCCAATCATCAACCTCTTTTCTTTTGCCCATGCATTCGTGAATGTGCATTTCATCCTTGATTAATTAAGAACGAGGAATTATAATGCCTTAGAATATGGAAATCTCACAACATGTGTTGCGTAAATCTGGTTTTCTGTGTATTGCAGGGAGATGGCGGTACTCCTCTACCCTCTTCTCAGCCTGGGCCACCAGAGCATCAGCGTTCGCGTGGCAGCAATGGCAATACGGTAATCACTGTTGTTTTCATTCATGGGATTATCGAATGAATATGGATCCAGTGGACTTTTTCCAGTTTATATTTGAGCATGAATTTGGCATTAACATCGCTGTCAAGTTCTGTGTCTCGTCAGGCTGGCCACATGGCTACGTAAAGATGTTGACGCTTGACGATTTAAAATTTTTTTATAGTGATAGTCAACGAAATTTTCATTAGCATATCCTAACAGGGCCAACTTCGATAAAGAGAAACACGCAGATTGAAAGTATTCTGATCATTCTTACATGTAGCCGGTTTAAATCAAGTGCATTTCCCCCGTCATCACGTTATTCTACTCCCCCCCCCCCCTTCATGGAGTTAATTGCATGTCTCAATCACCTCAGTTCAAATGCCTGTCATCTCTTGCAGATTTTCAAGAGTGGGCCGCTTTCCATATCTTCGAAAGGTGAGTTTTCCTCCACTTGTTTATGCATATGCTTCTACTGCACTGATCTATTTATGAATTAGTCACTTATATAGCAGAAATGGTAGGGATATATTCTCAAGAATCTAGAGAAAGTGGAGGTGGTAATTTTTTTCCCCCTTTGCCTGTTCATTAATATATCGCTATGCGTGCTGCTGCGCTTTTCTACGCTTTAGAATAATAGTTGGTGCTTTATATATCTAGCTAGGGAGAAAGAACCTTAACTGAATATCAAAAGGATGAGAACGCTATGAAGAAAAAGTTGAGCAACCATTAGTTAATAATTGCATAAGAGAAGTCTAAGATAACTCAGTAGACATTTGAACTATAGCAAAGGAGGAAACTCTGATCTGAAGATAGTGGCAGTCCTATGTGTTGCAAATTCAGCTTTGTATAATCCTTTCTCTTTGATTCTCGTTCTTTAGTCCTTCCCAAACCACCTGGGGTTAACTAGTAAGGAAGGGATGGGGTAGGTGTGGTTAGTGGCTAGGTTTCAAACCCTCCTGATGTGATCATGCGATTTTTTCCCCCCTTTTCTAAAATATCCTTATTTTATGAATTCTGGATGCGTAGGAATTGGATGGACATCTTGGAAGAAAAGGTGGTTTGTTTTAACACGCACTTCACTGGTTTTCTTCAGAAGTGATCCAGTAAGTGTTTTCTTGCGACATCTACTTTGTTTATTTATATCTCTGTGGATTCAATCATAGTTTTTCTAGAGTAGAAATATATAATGCTTGTAGAGTTTGAAGTTTTGGGCAAGTTAGGAGAAAAAAGGATAACGGCTTAATTGGAAATTGAAATAAATTCATACTTTAAAAAGGAAAAAAAAAGAAAAAAGAAGAAGTGGTAATATATCTGTGGAACGTGCCACGCATTTATAATGCATAGTTTTTGAGCCCTCTAAGTAAAAGAAGGCTAATAGCCTAACAGAGATTGGAAGCGAATTTGCATTTGTCTTTAAAATATTTTCTCCTGTCCATACTCTTTTTTCCCCCAAGTTGCCGTAGTAAATATATCCAACAGCTTTCTTGTATAAGTTAAGAGTCCTTTGTGGATGCTTTTCCCCTTGTGCTACGATGCCTATTCCTTTTTATTGCTTTATCATTTTATTTTCTGCTTTTCAGAGTGTTGCTCCTCAGAAGGGGGGTGAAGTGAATTTAACACTTGGTGGCATTGACCTCAACAATTCAGGCAGGTTAGCTATTGTTTAAATGCTAGAAATCATTAGCATTCTTTTCCTCTTCCTAATTGAACATAGCAGAAGTTGTAAAGTGTATTGATCACTAGAAAATTACTGTCAAATTTTGTAGTGTTGTTGTCAAAGCAGATAAGAAACTTTTGACTGTGCTTTTCCCTGATGGACGAGCTTTCACACTTAAGGTGCTTCACTTCCTCTCTCTCAAATATATTTCCTCCTAGAAATTTCCTCTTTCCTTGATGAGTTAGTGATATGTTGTGTACTTGTGTTGCATTTTATTTACTCGACATTTTATATATGAGATGCCTTGAAAATGACTGCCTCACTTTTTTTCACTATTTATCTATATTTGCAAGGTATATTGTGATTTCATTGTTACTACATTGATAATTGCACATATGTGCTCAATAATTTTGCTCTGTAATTCAACACATATTGAGGTGAAGATAGAATAAGAAATGACAATATGGATATTATTCTTTTCTGCTACTCTATGATTTTATTTATCGCTACTGCAGGCTGACACTGCAGAGGATTTGCATGAGTGGAAAACTGCACTTGAGAATGCTTTGGCGCAAGCCCCGGGTGCTTCTGATGTCACAGGGGAAAATGGTATCTTCAGGAACGATCAGACTGATTCAATTGATATTTCTTTGGACCAGTGTATGCTCTTGTTATAGTTGTTCTTTCTATATGTTGACTGTCAGTTCACATCCTGTGCAAACACTGTATGTTTCACATGATCTTTGTACTTATCTTACAAAATCCAGCTGTCAGCATGCTAATATTTGTTGAAACAGATAAAGCTGAGTTCTGTTTGTTTTCTGGTATGATCAATGGTATGCATGTTTAAAAGATATCTGTGAAATGGCACTTGACATTAACATTGATTTTTATATCTTCTAGGTTGCATAAAAAGGGATGGATATTTGACTATCTTCTGTATGTTTGTGTTATTTCTGCTGTGTTAAGTTTGTGTCATTAATACATTGAAATTTATCAATTTTCATTTTGGCCTGATACCCTTTATAATGTCCGCTTGAATTCTTCTGTGAAGTTGTTTCTGATTAATGCTGTAAAATTCCATTATTTACTGTTTTTCCCTTACACTTTTACTGAACTCTATAGCAAAGGATGTAGAACCAGCAAAATCTACTGTCATTGGCCGGCCAATTTTACTTGCTCTGGAGGATGATGATGGAGCTCCATCCTTTTTGGAGAAAGCCCTCAGGTTCATAGAAGAGCATGGTGAGTTTTATGCTTTCCTTTCTTTAAAGAATTCCTTTTTTTTTTTTTTTTGGGATTATGATGATGCATCGTAAATGGCATTTTATGCTGAGTGTACAGAGCTGTTCCTCCTCTAACGGATTAAATCTTAGATTTTTCTTTTTGCAAAATACCCCTACTAGACAGCACTTGAGAGTGGCCTGCTGATGGATGTGGCAATGCTTACTATTGTAATTTGCTGCAAGGAAGAGCTTCAACCTATTTAGCATATTAATTCCTAATGTTACTCGTTGAGAAAGAAGAGCGCAAAGTTAGAATCACCTCATCAGTAAGAAGTTGTAAAACCAAATACTGGCCAATATGGTGCTTTGCATAAGTCAGACACATTACATGTCGGCTGTGTCCGTTAGCTTATCGTTTTATGCTTGTGAGCCTTAAGTGGGTTAGCAACACTTCATGCTTGCGACTTCTATCAGTCGATTTTTGTGATGGGAAAACAAGTTTTTCAACTGAATATCGTCATGTTCTTGAAATGAAAGTTTAATATCAGGGTTGTTTTATTATTGCGGGTAGGGGATTTTGCGGTAGATTGATGTCAGTTATCTGTACCGAGTCTTTAGGATCCTTTTAGCATTGTTTACTCATGGCATAAGTTGCTTTTTATATGTATCTTATGAATATTATAAAACAGGGGTCAAAGTCGAAGGGATCTTGAGACAAGCAGCAGCTGTTGATGACGTTGAATATCGAGTTCGGGAGTATGAACAGGGTCAGTACTTTTCCTTTGCACAGCCTTTGATTTTATGTTTTTCTCTAGCTACGTCTGCTGTAGTGTGCTTGCATTTTCTTTACATTGTGTTCTGAACTTCATTCATAAGTGGCAAACTGTCAGCTCTCACCTTATTTCAGGCTTTGCCATGCAAATGTTATGAGAGATTTGAGGATTGTTATATACTGAACGTAATTCCTTCTAAAATATGTCAGTTAATGGGTCGTCATATTGGATGCCCTGGAATTTCCCCAAATCCCCACGAGTCTTGGGCTGCAAGGCCTTCTCTTTCTACATATAATAATATCCATCAAGAATATTAAGCTTTCCATTGTTGCTGTCGCAGATACTTCTTTGATACTTTTCTAATCACTGATCAAGTCCACTGTTCTTTGATATGGCATATGTATTCAGGAAAAACTGAATTCTCTGCTGATGAGGATCCGCATGTTGTTGCCGATTGTTTGAAGGTATTTTCACATAAACCAAGCATCTGGTTCTTTTAGGAGGGGTCATATATAATTTATTCTACACTTTTTCAGTATGTACTCAGGGAATTACTTTCATCTCCAGTCCCTGCATCTTGCTGCAAGGCTCTGTTAGAAGCATGCCGTAAGTGTCTGGTTTTCGTCATCCTTCTCTATCTATAATGTAATAATTACCAACCTGCTAAAGACTTACTTTGTGTTTGGATTAAATCTTAAACTTGTTTTGATTAAGATATCGAGTTCAATTAGACCACTACTTTGCAATGATACCCTTTTCTAATCTTGCATATAGGATAAAGAAGTCCTTTGTTGCCAAATGAATTCTTACCGGTGAAATCCACAAGTTTTGCTTTTAATTACATTTTAGGCAAGACAATTTGAAAATTGGGGATTTAGTGCAATTGAATTGTCATGTTCTCATTGTTCTAAACCTAGGCTGGCAATAGGGCGCAACCGGGAAGGATTTTTCAATGCATATCCCTGACTACACTTGTATTTTGTTGTCTTCCAAACCCCTTCTGCTGGCTGAGTAGAAAATCTGAGCAATTAAAGAAATTTCTTAAATCATTTACGGCATTCTAGTTAGTTGATTAAAATAAGCTATGACATAGTAACATTGTCTTAATTAGTTAGAACAAACAATGGTTTATGATTTAACGGAATGACCAGGTTCGATTTTCTTTCATATTTGGAAATTGGCATATTTATTAGGAACTGAACGTGCTGGTAGGATTTCTGCTATCCGTGCTGCAATATGTGAGACTTTCCCTGAACCAAATCGCCGTTTGTTGCAAAGGTACTTGATTATTCAATTTATTGTCCCCCATTACCTTCCTTTAGAGCAAAAATATGTGAATCACTTTGATTGCTATCTCCCCACCCCTCTTTTTCCCTGCCGGATCACCAACTTGAAAAGAGGATTAACAAGACTTGAACAAGTAAACTTGAGCATCAATATTTATACCAGATTGAAATCGCAACTCCCAAGAAAGTTTCAAGCTACTAGTGAATGGGATGTTAAACAAATTAATAACTGGAATGTGAAGTCATTTTCCACATCGAAATAATGTTGGAGGATGTCGTTGTAGCTTATATCTTTGTATTGTTTGGTGACGATCATTCCATATGTAGCAGAATTTTCCTCTAATGGGCTTGTCTTTGTGATTAACCTTGTGAATAATGGAAGCTAGGGAGCTATTCTATGAATTATGATTAAATTTCTGTTGTTGCACAGATAAGAATTACACTATTTATTTCCATGATTTAATGCACTTATTCTTTGTATGTAAAAATTAATTTCACTTTCAGAATACTCCAAATGATGCAAACCGTGGCTTCCCACAAAGCTGTGAATAGAATGAGCTCCTCCGCTGTGGCAGCTTGCATGGCACCCTTACTTCTTCGTCCCCTTCTTGCAGGGGAATGTGACGTTGAAAATGATTTTGATGTGGGTGGTGATGGCTCTGTTCAACTTCTACAAGCAGCTGCTGCAGCTAACCATGCTCAAACAATTGTTATAACCTTATTAGAAGAATATGACAGCATATTTGGGGTAAGTTTACTTATTTTATCTATATTTATTGCAGGGCTTTTACTTATAATATATGCATCTATGACAACACCAACGGACAAACGTACATCTCTTGTATTAGTCTTTAGCTACAGATTGTGTCACTAACACATTTGTCCCTGGCGTGCTTTCTTCCTTTTCTACATAAGAGCCAGGGATCTTTATATTTATTTTTTCATTTATTGGGTTTTCAAGTTTGTCCCCATTAGAGGACATAATCTGATGCTTGTGAAGTACGGCTCGCTCTCTGGGATAGAATATTCTTATGTTGAAACTTTGCTTCAGGTGGATCCTTTGATGAATAAGATATTTCTTACATAAACTTTTAGTATATGAAATAAGGTATTATGTTTTCTCTTTCCCCAAGGGACTTTCCAACCTAACAGTGTCCTATCAAATTAGATATACTGCAAAAGGGTAAACATCTGTGTAAATCTTCTATTACTTTGGGCTCCATTTTGCTCTATACCTCTGAACACATGCTTATTTCACTATTTTTTTTTATGACTAATCTTCCCTGCTATCTTTTTGTTGACGTTATTATGGTTCTAGGAGGAAGGAGCTGGGTCCCCAGGCATATACTCTGATTCAGAAGAGAGTGGATCTGGGAGCGAGGAGGGTACTGAAGATGATGAATCTTACGATGATGAAGATTATGATGATGAGTGTGATGAAGAATCAATACAAGAGTCCGATGCAGATGCAGAGGGCAGTGAGAGTGAAGACTCGGGGGGGAAGGATGATAAGGTTTCTGTCCCTTTCATTTATTTCACGATAATTGGAAGAAAATGTAGTAAACTGTTACGTAGCTCTGGAAATTTTATAACCCATTTACAAAGACTCAGTCAATTGGCTTGGTGCTGGAAAGAATTTTCCAAGCACATCATGTTTTATTGGACTAGAAGGAGAAATGTTGTGCATTAAGTTTTCACTTACGGTGCAGATGTAGCAAAAGAAACAAAACAGAGGCATTAACAGAATTTTGGAAAAGTTTTGATGGCACCCTAAAATAACCTTTACCTCTAACAGGTGTTCCTTTACCACTTCAAGAGATCTTAGCCTATGTATTGTCTAACAAGCTGCTCCATGTCCCAATTGATTTGTTGCCTCTTTGGATTAGTTTTCCTTGCTTTTTTCCGTTTCGTCGAAGCCCAAACATGTTTTTTAATTATAAAGAATAGTTTATTAGAAAAACAAAGCATTTCATTTTTTTTTTTTTTAATAAATCTGAAAGAGCTTTTCCCTGCCTTTTTTCTTCTGCTGAAACTTCAAAAGTCGCCTTTTCAATTTGATCCTTTACCAAACACTTAAAACTTTTTTCATGTATAACATCATGTTTATTTGGGTCTTACTAAATGGTTAGTCTCATTTTGTTTATCTTGATGTGCATATCCTGCATTTCCCCCCTGAGATAGTGTCATATGACGCTGCAGCCTCCATCTTTATACCTTCATGTTATGTAAGATAACCATTTTTTCTTGGTAATAGTTCACTGTTTATATGATTTTTCGGTCTGGCGTTTGGGGAAGGGCAGAGGGAGGAGACCGGAAGTGTGAAACTACCCTTATCCTAATTTCTTGAAATGTGCAGAGCCGTGATCATTCAAAGAAGGATGTAAAATCCTCAGTTGACAATGAAGGTCCTAAAGCCAAACAGATATCATCACAGCCAAGTGAAGTCTCACTATCCCGGGACGTTGACGTTAAGAGCCGTGAAAGTCTAACAAGTTCAAGCGAGACTGCTCGTGCAGAGAAGTCCAGCACACCTGATGACGTAGTCGAAGTTTTTTCCGCTGACCACAGTGCAGTGCATAATCTAAGCTGTCCCATTGACAACAAATCACTAGACATATCTGATGATCCAGCACATGGTCTGAGCCACACGATATTAGGGCGTACTTCTGTAAGTGCATTTGTAGCATGTCTTTCTGATCTTGGCATTTATTCATTTTTCACGTGCGTACAGATGGTTAAAACTCACACCTGACACTGAACTTTTATGTCCATTTCCTTTCTTCCTTTTTGGAGTCTAGCTATGTTGATTTTATCCTACTATCCCAGTTAATTGTTTATTCTTTTGTACAATATGTCCAGGCAATGAAGAATCTTGCCATGGAAACTGATGACTCTTCTACCAATGCGTGAGTAATTGGCATCCGCTGACTACTAATTTATCTTTCTCTGGTCGCTTTGTAGCTCCAATTGTATCTATTCGTTGCTGTTTAGAAAAGCAGGGGAACAGAAAAGTTAAAGAAAAGTAAGAGAGAACACAAAGATACTATGAACAGTAACATTTTATAGAACAGTCTGTAGTCCTTAGTTTTAAACTTCTAGTAGTCCACAGCGTTAATTTTATCGATGCCTGTGCTCAACATTAACCCATAGTAAACATCTCTGACTAGTTTCTTCATCTTTACTGATCTATGTTTTTGACCATTCGTAGAGCTGAAATCGAGAATCTTGAAGCTACCAAGGTAGAATTGCAAAACCAAATCACGGAGGAGGTAGTAACTTGATTTTCTTTCTTGATAGTTATGTTGATAGGAGCGGAAGTATGTTATTTGTTGGCAATTTTCCATCGTCCATTCTACTTTCTGTTGTAGTCTAATGCAAACCTGCAAACTTATCTGGAAAAACAAAAGGAATCCATGGACGAGCGTCGTCTGGCTCTTGAGCAAGATGTAAGTTCATCACGCGAGTATATAACTTCCCCCGTCTTTCTTCCTCCAGTAAATCATTTAGTATAAATTTAGATAATGTTCTGTAACTTTTCTTTCTTCAGGTAGCTAGACTACGGGAACAGCTGCAAAGGGAGAAGAATTATTGGGCAACTCTAGAAGCAGGAAACAAGTATTCTCCTGGATCCTCGTCCAATTCAACCGGTGATGAAAAGGTTAGTCTACCTCACTTTTATGTGGTTTTTTGAGCACGCATCAAAATACTAATAAAAAGCTTACAATAGACCAAGGCAGACCTTGAGGAAATAGGTCTCATAGAAGCAGATCTTGCCAAGTTACGGCAGCGGATTGATGATCTTGGCAGGCGGTGTAGTGTACAACATGAGCACACTTCAAATCATGAAACAAAATTGTATGTTAGTCAATTATGAGCTTATTTCTGCATATCCTTTTGCTCTTACTTTTACAATATTATATCGCTAATTGGTTTAGTTTTCATGAAAAAATTTGCTAGTAATATTACTTTTCCACATAAAAAGTAATTGAGCACTTCCAAATAGATTTTATGGGAAGAATGGCTGTTTTCTTTTTCGGCATATGTTTGTTTGCACTTGATTGTCTCTCTCCATATCAATTACTAGATTAAAAAATTCCTTTGTCCATGGGAAATCATCGACAGGAAGAATAAGGATACTGAAGATGCATTTACTTCTCAGGCTCAGATTGAAAGAAGCAAGGTAAATTTATCAAGTCTTTCAAGTATATGTATCATTGTGGTGATGAAAGACGATGGACACGTTCACACAATTTGATGATACTGTTCTGCTCCCAGGCAAAAGAATTTTGAAATGTATACATTTAAATTTTGGAAGTGATGCCCATTCGCTATCCGACGTTCTACATTTATAACTGTTTTATATGATTTGGGATAACTATTTTATTTGTGTGAGCAGAGAGAAGAAAAAAGAGAGATAACTTTTGAAACAAATTAATTAAATAAAATGCTCCAGCATGCAGATTCTTCTATCAAAGGATTTGTATTAAAGCCCCGTCTGGCAGAAAAATAAGCAGGATAACTTCTCAAGCTCCTGCTATATTCTAATTAAACGTATATTTATACTTGTAGCTTTCTCAGAAACCAAAAGGTTGCAGGATATTGAATTTACATATCATTTTTTTTTAACCTTATTGGTGTTTGATGCAAAAGGACGTTCCCTTCGGCGGAGCCGAGAGTGAGAATGAGAAGAAGCGGGAACCAACATCTCTATTTAACAAATATCCACCTCAAATTTCTTCGAAAAAAGTTGGGGCAAAGGCTGAGGTATGTTTCATGAATTTGGTTATGAATCAGCGTTGTTTTGTTTATTGTGTATTCAGTATAATATGTGCATGAGCAGTAGATAACAAGTCATCCCATGACGAAACCAGAAAAAGCCTTTTTACACGGCACTGGCAAACTGAGGGCGATGCGAACTAATCTATTCTTCTCCTTTAATAACAGCATCAGGTATCAAACTTCACTACTTCTAGACTGACGAAACTTTCCACCAGACTAAACTTTCTGAAGGAGCGTCGAAATCAAATTCAGCAGCCACAGCCATCTCTCAGTAACAAGTCTCGGGGACCCGAAACTCAAACTGTGTCAAACCCAGAAAAGGGTAGAGCCATGGACAGTTCCCAGCCACCCTCAATTCCAGATAAAGGTTCGGGCAAAGAACCTCAGTCGCTCCAAAATTCAGACAAAATGAGAAAATCAGATAGCCAGTCAACCCATCATCCAGATAAATGGATTCAAAATCAATCCTCGGAAAGAGGAAGGTCCGAAGGCCATCAGTCTTATAATATGGATAAAGGTCGATGATTAGAACGCCATTTTTATGTCACAAGAACAAACTCCAGATGATTCAAGGCCATTGCAATCATTAAGCTCTGTGCTATTTCCTCGCACGTGGCATTGCTTATGTCTTCCACAACGTTTTGAGCGGGTTTACAAAGCAGAGTCCGGAGAGAAACTCGTTTGATAGGTTGACGCAGGGGCCGATGTTTAAAGAGGATGAGAAAAGGGCGGGGGGTCCATTTTCCTTTAATTTAGGATGTACAAGGCACGATTCAACCATCCCTCGTTAGATTACAAATTAAATGGAACTGTCTATGATCTAAGTTGCTGATCTTTGCGTTGGCAAGTTTCTGATTTTGGCAGTCACAGTGCCAGCACCTGTGGCTTTTGTAATCACATTACCACCGTTTTTTTTTTTTTTTTTAAATACCCTCAATCACATTACCACCTTGGTAAATGCAACATTGTTTAGTTTCTCTGTATATAAATGCAGATTTCCTAGCTTCCTCGGTGTGAGATCGTCGAAGGCAAAATTCGCGGGACTTGATTACATGCTGCCTTAATTTCAGCTTTAGGGATGGTAATAATGACGGCATGATATAAAAATGATTATTTAATCGAAGCCGTAAATTCAATTTATATCAATCTTGACCGGTAAAATTATATCAATCAATTTCAACTAGAAACCTATAAAAGAAGAGTAACTCAAACTACTTGTTCCTCATCAATTTCCTAGTAGTAACTCCTTTGTTATCATTGTAATCCTTTTTATTTGGGAGAATTAGAATAAAGGACATGTAGAAAGAAATATTTATTAAAAAAGACTATAAAAATTAGAATTACTTAAAAGGACCAAAATTTAAATATTGATTCTAAAATGCCAAATTATCTCTATCCCACCTCCATCTCTCTCCTTGATTTTTCCACCCTTGATGGTAGTAGTAGTTGTTGCTTTCCTTCCCTATTATTTTATATTGTTAGGTATTTATTTCAAAATAATGTAATTACATTTTTCCCACAAGTTTTTCAAAAGTTAGAACTTCCCTAAGCTATATATACACAACTTTTTTGTTATTCATACTCAGAATTTGCAATTATTAATAACATTATTATTTCAAGATCTTTAAGTTTTCTTGTCACAAATAATAACATTTAAAACCATTTGTTACTCACAGTCTGAAATATAATATTTGATGGTTTTTTAATTTTGTATAGAGTGAGATGCGGCAGTTGATTGGAAAAGAAGAATAATTATAGGCAATTTAGTATTTTTAAAATTACATTTTAATTTTTGGTCTTTTAAAACAATCATGATTTTTAAGATCCTCTAAAATAAATATTGTTTTTTCTTAGTCCTTGGTTCTAATTCTCCCTTTTTATTTTTAATCCCAATCAAAATTCCTTGAGCAACTTCCTCACTTGCTCGAGAGTCACAAATAGCACCACGGTAAAGGGTCCTTGCCTTGATATTGTGGGGACGAATCCCTTATACAGAGCCATAGGTCCTTCAGCCTTCGATGTCTTGAATGCACAACCCAAGGCTCCATTATGCGGTGGGGTTGCCTCTGCCTCAACATTCATGTTCATCACCCTCGTCTTTATCACGTCCACGGGATTGGAAGCCACCGCTGCCACAAACCCCGCCGCGAAGCTTGCCGTGACGTGGGTTCCGAGGCCATCCTTCATCAGCCCCTTTCCCAAAATCATCTCCTTGAATTGATCATAAGAAGTCAATTGAGAAGCTGTCACGATCATCGCACGGTTCACCGTAAGAGCCGAACCCCGCCACAGGCTAGTAATTCCTTCCTCACTCGTCATGCGCGCGATTGAGTCGAACACGCTTTTATAACCGCGCCGTTGAGCCGTCGGAAGCCGACCATCCGCTTGCATCCGGACCATGGCCACATCAGCAGGGTTTCCAATGGCTGCACCTATCCCGCCGGCGATTAGCCCCGCAGCTACCTTTCGGGTCAGGAGCATCTTGCCCGTATCTGGATCGGCCCATTTGTGCTTCATCACATCGTATAGACCCATGCGGGTAGTGGAATAGAGTGCTTGGCGAAGCACTGTGGCGGATACGCCGGAAAACAGGGCAGCCACGCCTTCGGACTGCACAATCCAAACACCGACGGATATGAGTCCAACACCAGGTCGAAGACCAAGCGTGGCCGGAGAGGCAGCCATCGCCGGAGAAAGTGGGGGAAAGGCATAAGCTGGACGCAGATTCTGTATTGGCTGAGGTCTCACAGGAATAGAGTGTTTCTCGCCCTTAAGCTGCAAGCGAACTTTGATGAGATCGAGTGGAAGAGTTGTACAGCCGGCGACAGTGGAAGCAATGCCGCCTTCAACAAATCCTTTGAGACCCATGTCGAGGGATATAAATTTGTTAATGCTGTCACTGGAAAGACAGAATTTTGATAGCACTCTGTTCAAAATCAGATCCTGCTTCCTGAGATCTGATTCCTGAACAGAGAATGGAAAAACATGTCACGTTTTGGGATTCATAAGGAAAGGAACGGGCGTTGGGTTTAAGATGCGGAGTGGAGGAGGAGTCATGTTTATAAAGTTTCCTGATTTTTGAAGACGAATTGGCGCCCCGCAATCGCTAACCAATATGCTACTAGTACGTGTTTCAAAACTAGGGCAACCTCCCCCTTTTTTCATCTAAAATAATCAATGTGTGTGTAAAACGCTGGTTTGAGTACAAGCGGAGGCCGGGTTGGTCCGGTTCTGCCCCGTTACGTTGGGCAGGTCAGACGCCAAGACGATACGTGTGTGCGTAATTCACATGGCACAAACATATATGCATGTGTATATGTCAAGGAACAAAAAAACCGGATTGAGAACTAAACCGGCTGAGACAATAGGTTAAGGGTCACTGGTTGGACCGTGGTCGAACCGGAATCAGACCGGTCATATTAAAATAATAAAATTTAATTCATAGCATTAAAATAGAACAACACAATCAAAATTATGATGCAGTATGATACCTTCTCCTCTGTACAAAATTAATCTAAAGGATCAAGTCAAGACAAGGATCAAAATCAAAAGTTTTGTTTATTGTATCATGCTAACTCAATCCAAATCTTATGAAGCTAGATGAACCAAAAACACTATCAGAAACTTCAAAGATGAAAACCCAAATTATATCAAACCAACCATATTATTATGGCATTTAAAATTAAAATTTATTAAAAAAAAAAAAAGGGTTGTGGCCGGCTAGTCTTGCATCATCATCCTGAACATGAACTTGAGGAGTGTGTAATGCAACAATAGCTATATTATTTGATTCATTTCAGCGACAACTCTTGATTTATTTCAGCAACAACAATCTTGATTTATTTGATTATTTTAGCAGCAACACTCTCCTCCCTTCTCAAATCTGAAATCTCACAACAGTCTAGAGAGAAGCAGCTCTTCGATCTTAAAAAAACAACCTAGCTAAAAAAGAAAGGTGTTGAGCTTACCCACAAGGCTACAACTCAATGCCTGAACCGAAGGTAAAGCAGGACATCCATGAGCGGCAAAGGTGAGGTAGGACGTCAGTGAGGAGAGGATGGACTATGGAGACTTGGGACTTGTCATGTGAGCTTCGAAGGTGAACGGCAAAGGCGAAGCAATGTGAGCAATGAATGGAGCCACAGAGGAGGGAGTGCCACTGTTAGTGATGAGTGAACAGAATGACGGCACGACGAGACGACACTATGGATTGCTTGGGTTTCACGGCAAGAGTCTGGGATCGGGAGAAAGGGGAAGAGATCTCGGCGATTTGGGGGGGGAGAGGATTTTGATTTTTAGAAATGGGGGAGGAGGACCGAGGGGCTCGAGACTGGGTTGAACGAGGGAGGGAGAAAGAGTCTTTTTCTTTTTGTGTTTTTAAAGCCAAACGACGCGGTTTTGTCTGCTGGGCAACCAAAATTAAACCGGGTGAACCCCAACCGGTTTTTACCCCAGTTTAACACTGGTTTTTATTGGTTGGACCAGTTCCCCACCGTTTCACAACATATCCAGTTTTTTCTCCAAACCAGATCGAACTAGGGGCCAGTTCACTGGTTTTCTAGTTGAACTGGTCAGTCCAGTCTGATTTTTTTCTCTTTGGTATATGTTTTACCTCCCATCTTATAAGAATAATTCGTTTGACATTTATTTTAATTTTAAATATATTAACTTAATTTATTTTATTTCTCATATTTATCAGTTTTTATTAATATAATCCCTATAATAAGTGTATGGAATCAATTTTAATATTCATGACGGTGATGCTTATCAAATGTTAAACATAAAATTTAATTCGCACGATCAAAAAATTTTTTTGTTATATTTTGACTTTTTTTTAAAATATTTTTTTAATAAGTAGATAACCCAAAATAAATATAATCTTTTTAATAGTAAGCTTTTTTAAAAAACGATTTTCATTTAAAAATTATTAATTGAAAATTTTAAATACAGACAATTAAATTACTGTATTTGAATGGTGTAGATTTCATTCCAACAATGCAATGAACACTAAAAATAGTTACGTAGTTAGTAGTTATGCGTAGTAAAAGTTTTATTAAATGACAGTTTTAATCAGTACTCCCTCCGTTCCTTATTATAAGAGACATTTGATGCTTATGTCATGTTCCTATTTATAAGAGACACTTACAAGTTGTCTCTACTTTTTTGTGTTGATTTACTATTTTACCCATATTTATTATTCTCCAACTCACATTCTCTCTCCCTCCCACTTCTCTTTCTTTTAATAATTTAATTGTTCTCTCTTATGCTTTCTCTTCTTATTAATGAGGGCATTTTTGAAAAAAAAAATTATACTTTTTACACATTAATTGTTCTTAACTAATTTTAACTGTTTTTTTGATCAACGTACTTCGGTTATTTGTCTCTTATAATAAGGAACGGAGGGAGTATATGTTATTAGTAAATTTTGTGGTTGCACATATTAAAAATTTCATTAAATAATAATTTTAGTTAATATATATTGTTAGTAAAAATATTTTAATGAAGACAAAACATATTTACTAGCTCCGGTGTTAATTATAAGGCCTTGTTTGTAGATTACAAACAAGGTCTAATAATTAGAAGAGAAAGTAGTATTATAAATAACTAATTTATTTAATTTTTTAAAATTAATTAATTAGGCCTAGGAGGAAAGCTTTATAGTCTCCCTTTTTGAAAAAATACCGAAAAATATACGAGACTGGACTCATCTTCAAGAGTGAGACCACGGATGTTGATATGCACCCAAAAGACAGAACCTTGGAAATTAGAAACATAGCCCACGTTTCAAATCAACACACAATTATCAAACTTCAGACGTGATGACACTATGGCATTGATAAAGATGAGATGTCTCCTTCAATGTCTTTCAGGGCCACCACACTTATTTACCACAGACTTCTTAGCCACCAGGACAGATGGGTCGGGACACACAACAAAGAAAATACAAGAAATTTAAATCTAGCAAGTAGCTAGCTACAGAGCTCACGGGCTATACCAACCTTATTATTGACAGTATCAGACAAAATCCTAAGGTTCTGCTGCTGCAAATTGGCTATCACATTCAACACCGAGCTCACATTACTGGGCGACGTCGCCATTGCCAAGCAGGCCAGTGAACCCGAACTGCTATGTATGAAGCTGTTCTCCAATGGCAATTTCAACTCCAACCCCGAGAAGTGCAATGTAATTGTGCGTGCCAGTGTCTCGTAGCTCTTCACAAAGCAAGTGTCAAATGCCCCCAGGCTCGAAAAAGGACCTTTCACTTGTTTTCTGAACTCGTCCCTGATTGCATTATACACTGGTTCCACGAATCGGGTGATCACCGTACCTGAATCTATGATGGTTCCAGCTCCGGTGTTAGGTTTGAAGCTCAGAAGATCCGTAGGTAACCGGACAAGGACCCGACCAACGCTGACTCCGGTCAAGTTCACGTAGTACAGAGAAGGCCGGCGGGGATTATGCAATAGAGGGGTTGTACGGATGCGTTTGGGCTGACCTTTGGGTCCGAGCTTCAGCGACCCAGAGAAGAAATATGACCTAAACCGGGAAGGCAGTAGGAGAAAACTCCCCTGTAGATTGACCCGGCTTGCAAAAATAACGACAAGGGTCCCCGACCCAGACCAAGTAGTCCTTGGGAGGGAATTGAACCGCCGTTGACGTTATTAACGCAACCGAAAGCGTAATTGGGCATGATATCAGATCCTAGTCTGAGAGAATCTTGGACCAGCGTGGCGGAGAAGGATGAACCGGCGTAGGAATGGTTAAACGAACAGGGGGCGGATCCTGTGTTGGGGCAAGAGGATCCACGGACCTGACTGCATTGCAGAACGGAGCAATCCAATGACCTGAAAGCAGTAGAAGCTTTGGGTGTAAAAGTGACGGCGGAGCAGCCAGAACAGCCGGGGCAAGGGACCCAGGCCTCATCGCTGCTAGTATGACCATGAACATGAGCTGACCGGGAGTGCCGAGCTTTGCCCGGACTAGGTAGTTGCCGATAGTGAAAGCCTGGCCGGAGGCAAGAGGGGTGGAGCTTGAGCGCTTCTTAGCGAGAAGGGAAGATAAGTAGGTGAGGCGTTGTGAGTCTGTGGAGGCGGCCATGGTCATGAGGGTGTTAAGCCAGGAGTCATCAGTAGCGTTGTTGGGTAGTTGGAAGGGAGAGCACTTGGAGTAAATGGGAATGAGGGCGACGTCCAAGTGAAAGGCTTCATAGGCACAAGGGTCTAAAGCAATGGTGGTAATGGCGAGGATGTATTGTTGCAGAGAAAAGAATAAAGGAGTTGAAGAGCTTGAGGTCCATATTTATGGAAGCGGGCGGTTTAGTGTGCACGGCATCGTCCTTTAATATACGCTAGAGAGAGGGAGAGAGGGAGAGAGTCCCATGCATGATCGGCGCATCCGGTGTTTGTCTTCCCTTTGATTAAATTACATAACTATCCTTGGAATAGTTTTCACAAATTTGTCTTTTTCGTTGCCATTTATTTTGGTTTTGGGTGCAATTCGGGCTTATACATACGAATATTATATGAGTTTATGAGAGGTTATATTATTTATGAAATGTGAACATTATTGTAACTTGTGATACATTATGGAAGCTCCTTGAAATACATAGAACTATGAGGAAAGGCAATCCAGTTGTAGAACACAGTAAGAATCTCGAGCGATTAGATGCATGATGAGATTTCAGGGTATTTAAAAGTTGCAATCATGGGAAGTTTGATTGAGAGCATCAAGCCCCAGCAGATTTAAGTGTTGGAGATGAGCTAGATCAAGAAAAGCAGTAAAAAAGATCAATCGAACAGTACGAAGTGGGGGAAATGCTGTTCGTAGGTGGTCGGAGCACGAGATGGAAGCAGTCGTTCACGGACTTTCTAAGACATTTAATTCGTACAGCACAAAACACACACAAGGTTGGTCCCACGTTTGTAGTTCTGATTGCTGTTTATCAGCCTGCGATGGAGCAGAGAAATCTACTTACTAGCTTTCAGATCCGAAGGATGAAGCTGTGCTATCGTTTCAAGAGCCCTCTTTCACGCTTCCATGTTCAAAGACATGGACACACAGCTAAATCAGGTGAAGTTTTACTTGATAGTAGTAGCCAAAAATCCGAAGCTGATGATTTGTTGCCTCACATCAGGCAAAAACGAGAAATCACGGAAATTCATTCATCTAATTCATCATCTCGTATGCTCCAGAGAGTTCCCACCATGGCTACACTGCATTTCTATTATTTTAACTTCTGCAGTGTTTTCCAGGCTTTGGAACAAAACACATACGCAGTGTTTCAATTTTCTACATACAAGCCAAGTGCACTATCCATGTGTTCCATTTTACTAATGACGAAAGAAAGTGAAAAGTGATTACCAACTCTATGCATGGAGAGAAAAGTAAAGCAGCCGAAAAAAATTAAAGAATTTTTTTTAATGTTTACATGGCAAGATAAAATAAGAAAATTAGAAAAGCGGGGAAAAGAGATAAGAAAGCAACATGCTTTTCTCGAAGTTTTATCCTAAAAGTTTGAGTTAAAGAGGAAATGTACTTTCAAGAATTGCCCTAAAGGAGGAAAAGAAGATATGCCAGACTCCATCCTTTTCATATGTATATTATCATCTTCCTAAAATTAGTCACTTTTTTTATGTTTATTCAAACATGAGTAAAAGAAATATTCTCTTTTTCATTTTTCCCCTCCCTCCATTTTTTCACCTTCCACTTTCTCTTCCTTCACACACAGCACAAAAGCCAAATCCCGCTCCTCCAGAGTTCCAAAGTACTTCCATCTTTTTTCTTTCCTCTTTAGACTGCCAGGTTAGTTGCTTACCTAAATTGTGAATGAGGATACAAGACCTTCATATTTGCCTCATAACTTATTATGTAAGGAATAAGAACTCTTCGAAAGTCAAAAAACCTTCCCGTATGGGAAACATATGGTCACCCATGGTCATGGAATTTACAAATTTTGGCGTCAGACTAAGAACACATTGAACCACATAACATTAATAAATAAACATGCATATGGATGACCATTAGAAGAGAGTATAGCAGGCTGACCAGGGCAAGCAATACTTGAATCAACATAAGCATTCTGCGACGATATTATATGTTCGGAATATTACTCCCTTTATACGGTAAACTTATTTATTTCTTTTGGTAAACAAAATATAACACGCTTATTAATGTACAACAAAGCAAAAAGAGCGCGTAAAGTTTGATTCGGAGACATTTGAAACCAGACTCGAATTACTTGCGAAGTGATAATAGCACAGATGAAGCACTCTTCCCTGCAACAACTTCACACCGCATCAAAGTAGCACAGTCCACAACACGTGAAAACAAGTGGTTGTAGCAGAACCTGAGCAGCAGCAGCCAACTAGCAGACAGAAGCATTGGAACTGAGCTACACAGAGGTTCGGTTAAACATAAAATCCTGAGCACGAAACGGCTTGAGGTCTGACCAAATGAATTTATAAGTAGAGATGCACCACCAACAACTGACATACAGCAATCCACACCCAGAACATGGAATCAAATTGTTTCAAAATATAGTCGTCTTGCAAATTGTATGTGGCGATAAAGCCGTGCGCTGTAACAATAGAGAGTTCCAGAAAAAATTCAGACACAAAATCAGAAATAAGTAAGGTTAAGGGAAGTGATTTAAGTTTTAAAAGCATCTGAGGACAAGAAAATGAATGAAACCAAGCATCAATTGTAGAAAATAGCAAAAAAAAACTCCTCAGCCCTTTCTGTATCTCCTGCTCTCATACTTCAATTCAATAACTTCATATATGTTTTTGCATCATCTATCAATTAAAAGATAATCCATGGAGCTCCTTATGAATGTCCCAATTGATTTAAGGCCGTACTTGCACTCCAGCAACTTGTTTGGGCTGCCAGAATTTATACTTAATGCCAAGCAGCGGTGTCTTCTTCCAATTAAAATGCTAATAGGCAAACTCAACTATTAGCTGCAGGGTAAGGATTGGAGATCATTTACGGAGGAAAACAATAAAAGGGCAACACCAAATTTACCAAGGCCTTAGAAAATGGTATTGGCACAAACCAAAAACAGCTAAGCCCAGAAATCAATTTGTCACTACCTGTCAGCAATAATTAGATTCAGCAACATGCATAAAAGAGGTAGATCCCTCAGATTCTTGTGCCCAAAATTATATAGCTTATTTTTCCCAGATCCCAAACATTATAAGGGAATGACCGAATCACACATCTCAATGCTGCCGGAGCTTCTCATATTGCATACTAGAAGGCTTACCTAATTTGTCTTGTTGGCAGTGTCCTTTTCCTTTATAATCATAACAGGGCATTGAGCATGGTGGGTGCAGTAGTTGCTAACACTTCCCAGGAACATCCTGCAACAGAGATAATATTGCTCGTGGCTTGTCAAAAAACCATATTTATTGCAGTTAACATGCTACCGATCCACAGGTGTTCTGACTTTTAATGGTTTATCCCTTTTATTTTAAAAAAAAAAAATCACAAATTTTGTAATACTAGAAGTAACCAAAAAAAATTGGACGACGGCATTGGATTCATTGACAGTTCAACAGAGCATCCACGTATCAAGAAAGTTATCAAAGAGTTTTTACTGTTATAGCTGAAGAGTATAAGTAAACAGGCAACGTATCCTCTAAAAGAAATAACAGAAAGATAATAGGTAGGGGGAAAAGAATTACATGATTACATTCCAACTTTCAGAGTGACCAAATAATAAGACTTGAGAAAAAGTCAAACAAACAATCGTGCATCAAGAAAATGAAAAGATTCTTCATTTGCAATAGTAATTGCACATCTACACCATAATCGTATCACAAATCGATCAATTAAGTGGCTGGATATTTTTGGGAAAACTAAAGGCTGGAATTTTTTTAAGACAATAATTTTTACTGGAAACACGGGTGGGAAAAAACCTTGGGAGAGTACAAGCGATCCACCCAAAAGGCATTCAAGAACAGATATGAAGAGGCTCCAAACGAGTGACCAGAACTGAAGTCCAATTAAAAGTGAAAGTTTAAGATGCTTGCCGCGATGAACATCGAGAACTAGCAGTGCATACGTATCACCCATCACTATTAAACAAAAAAGCAGCTAAACAACTTAAGGCATGGCTTTAGTTAAGTGACCTGGGAGCATCTTCCAAAAATGGTTTGCTAAAGTTTCAAGATTTCGAACAAGATAGGAATGTTGAAAAGACAGGACCATTGAAAAGATCGGTGATGGAATGGACACCGCACCAAATTATACACATGCCAACACAAGATAAACTCTTAGTTTTCATATTATCTTCCAGAAACAACCAATAAAAACAGAGTGAATTTTATCTAGGATAACATTACACAGGGGGAAATCATCGATAATGGATTTCAGAAGAGTTAAAACTACAACAAAAAAATTGCTATATGATTTTTAGCATCACTTGTCAGCTATTAAAAACATTTTAGCGCTAGCTAACACTACCTCTTAATAGGACCGAACGCACGAGAACCCATCACAAGCAAGTCAGCATGCAAATTCTGGACAGCTTCACAAATTTTCTCCTTTGGATCTCCAACAACCACATGGGTTTTGACATTCACCTGCAGGAGTTTCGTAGACTAAACACTTTTGCCCGTGGGCCGAAAAAAGCAAGAAGGAAAGAAAGAAAAGGAAAAGGAAAACGTATTTAGCGGATGTGTGAGCATGAATCTTGAGAGGAATCAAAATGAAAACCAACATTTAATTTGGAACAAATCCCTAAGGCGTGATCCAGTATGGCATCGGTGATGCGCTTTTGGTGGGTTTCAATCGCAGCAGTGAATGCAGGCACTTCCAGGTCACCTAATCGATTTCAGAACTGGGTTAAATCTTCAGTAATCAGGTCAAGCAAAACAAAGTTCGATCAAAATAAGCAAGTAACCGAAGGAGGACGAAACAAAGTGCACCGAACTGGGTCCGCCGAAAGGAATGGCACCAGGATTAAGACCGGCGGCGATGGAGGGCGGTGACTGGACGTGGAGGATAACAAAAGTAGAATCGGATCCAGGCGATCGGAGCTTGAGATTGTTGAGCGCCCATGTTAACGCGCTCATACTCTCCTCGCTGCCATCGACGGCCACGACAACGCATCCCAGGTTTCCCGCCTCAGACATAGCTATTCGAACGTCTTTAGCTTGAGTTCGGTTACCGGACCGATGATTCCGTCGCCGGTCGCAGCTGCGCTGACTGCTATCCTGCTACCAATGTCTTGATCCCCCGCTCCGTTGACTGTGCGATGGATTGGATGATAGGTCCCCAGCGCCCAATCAGCGTTAAGCGGAAAAACAGGGTATGAATTATAAACTACAGTGGCCAGAATAATTCAAGTAGAATTTGCGGGACGACAAATATCCCCAAGATTTTTTGATTCTCAAAATTATACTCCTTAGATTAAAAGACATTAAAATATCCTTAAAAATACTAAAAAATAAATAAAAGTAGTTAAATTTTAAAATATTAAATCAGACTTTAGGTACTATTTTAGAATTTTCAAATTTTGTAAAATGATAATGCTATCATTATTCTTAATAACTACTTTCATATAATCAATAGTAAATAACTAAACAAAAAGTAGTTACCAGATCTCCAACAACACTTAATGCATTTTTTTAATTTTTGAAACAAAAGTAGTCAATAATCAATAGTTAAATAAAAGTAGTCACCAAAATTTTAAAAATGAAAATAGTCAATCGCAATGTTAGAGTAATCAATAACTAAACAAAGTAATCATCAAAGTTTTAAAAGAAATATAGTCAATAACTAAAAAAACAGCCAATATATAAAAAAGAGTAGTCACCGGAACTCCAGTGACCCGGTGACATGTCACTGGAGCTCCGACAGTTGGTAACCGGCAAGAGTCGGAGCTCTGACAGTTGAAAGTGCTGATGTGGCAATATTTAAAAAAAAAATAGTAAAGAGTATTTATGTAATTTTGTAAGATTTAAAATTTCAAAATGGTACCTAGAGTTTGAATTTAGATTTTGAAATTCATCCACCCTCATTTGTCTTTTAATTTTTTAGGATATTTTAGTGTTTTTTTCCAATATTTAACTTTTTAAAAATAAGTCATTTAAGCAAATTATCTCTAATCATGTTTTAGAAAAAGGAATATGTTCCCGGGTTAATTTACATTTACTCTGTTGTTTAAAAGTATCAGTTTATTTTTCCATTTTTGATGCATACGCATATTCCTTAATTTTTAAATGATTTTTCTGCATCAGGTGTAAGACTGTTTTGTTCTATATATGGTGTAATAATAAAGACGATAGAATCAATATATCAAACTTCTAACACTTAACTGTAGTTATGCATCATGATTTTTTTCCCCTTCTGATTTTGGATTTGGATTCTATATATATTTTACTGTTTCCGCAGCTTCGTAACGTGCAAGCTAAGAAAGTCATTGAGTAATCTTAAGTTTCATAAAAGTAGTTTAATTAATACTCTCTTAAAATGCCCCTCTTAAACTAGCAGCAAACTTTACTAGCACTATGCTCTAGCACTATTTGACTTCCACCCCATCTTAATACCCAAAATTAGTGCATGCATTTAAAACAATTATTAGTCGACACTTTTGATTAATTAAATGAAGGGAGTATTACGTGCATGCATGAGATGAGATAAAGTGTTATGTAATTTATATATGCTATCAATATAATGCATACACATGCAGACACAATTAAACACGGTTTGATGCGCACATAAATGTATATGGGGTTAATATGCACTCAATTATTTTTAATATCATGGATACAGAGTCTTTAAAAGGTGGTAGCATATTTATCAAGTTGCGGGAATAGATAAGGAGAGGCTCGTGGCAGTGGTCCCACTTCCTCATTTGTACTGTGAGGCCACTTATTGTTCAGTGATCTGATCTCTTATTCAAGGAATATAATTTCGCTGCTCATTTACCACCTCCACCGTCCTTTTCTACTTATCTCTTCCCGACATTTACCTGCGGCGGCTTCCATTTGCCTAGTTTTGTGTTTTGTATTAACTATTCAAGCATATTAACGAAAAGTGAACAGCGCCGCGTACCTTAACATGAATTTCTTCTTCTTCTTCTTGTCATATAACTAACAGTTATATTAATGAATGGTTTTGCCACCTTAAGTGTTTGCATTATAAGCATGAGAGGCACTAAATTAAAAGCATGGCCAACAAAGACATGCCCAGCTTGCATGCATGCGTACACATTTGAGGGTAATGGAGACTTTATTGCCAATACCCACGGCCTATAATTAATTGGAAGTTTGGAACATTACGAATTGGGTGCATCCATCAAAGCACAACTTGTTTACTTCTTGTCTTCCTGTCCCCTTTTCACATCAGCCTCTCATTTCTCCCCATAAATGTGGTTTCAGATCCGTCCCTGAAGCCTAGACATAGTTTTAAAGGAGAACCACGGCAAGAATTTGAAATTACCAAATCCTAAAAAAAAAAATTCTTATAAAAATATGTTGTTATTTGTAAATTCACTGTTCTTAAAACATACTAAGGTGTTGCTACCAAGCCTAATTTAGGATTTATTAATTTTAAGTTTCTTTCTGTGAAATTCTCCTAGTTTCAAACCTGTAAAAATGGTATATAGTTGATCGTGGCTAAAATCGCAGTCGGCCTAGGGCTTGAGGCCTCCAGAAACAAAACTAGCTAAAAACCATGCATTTTGCGGAGAATTCAGGGAAGATATTTGCTACCCGCGTACGTTCGTTAACTTTTAATATGATCATATTCACCCTATAAATATATGTACTCCTACATCGATTTCGGATAAAATTAAACAATCTAATGCGAAATCCCCTCGCGTTGATCGTATAATACAGGGGAGATTCAAATCAATATAGTGATTATATGTCTCTGTCCATGAGAAGAAAGGATTGATCTGCTCAATTACAGGATCCATTCATTTGTTTAAAATTCTTCCATAGGTGTTGGATCCCATTGAGAGGTCTATTATTAGAAATAAAAAGTTGTCGAGGGGTGAATGAAAGTAAAGAATTAGTCGGAACTTTTAAGTAAAGATTATTTCTACTTTTCTTTTTAATGTCGTCTTTCGTATCTTTTTCGTTTACGAAACTTTGCCAACCTTTGCAGATTTCAGGATTCACCAGCATGCAATAACGATAACGACGATAATGACAGGGCACGATTGGCAAATGCTCAAATATTAAAAGGATCAGGCACAATATATTCACCATGCATTTTAATGATTAAAATTAATGTGTTGACGTTCAAATATAGTTATAAAATAGATCTTATATCTAGAACCGAAAAAATGTCTTATATATAGGATGAGGGGAGCATTCTTTTGATCATCTTATTTGCTGAATCCATGCAAGAAGAAAATGGGAAAGACTAAAGTAGAGAAGGGTAACAAAGATGGAATCCTCTCGAGTTTTCCAGGAACTGACTGGATAAAGCGACGCACAAAGAAGGCAAGCACAAGGCCTAGCCACTTTCTCCCACTTTTTCCCTATTAAGAAAGCTATCCCTCCAACATGCATGACCTCATCCATTATTCGTAGCACTGACACAAGCATATATGCTCAACCCATCACAGCTGAATACCATTTCAAATAATAAAGCTGGACCAAAAAATAGTGTCAGTGTTATATAATATACATGCTTTATCCCCTTTCTTCATATGTAAGACTTAACCAACAGGGGTTAGGTGTAGTGGAATGAGCTAGTTTTTCATAACGTGATGAATCAATATTTGAATCCTCGCTCGAAGAGGTTTTAGTACTCGACAGTGCCTCGAATAGAATTGCCTCCAATAAAAGAATACCTATATTTTAAGGAAAAAAAATGTAAGACTTATCTTGCAGTGTAAATACATTTAGGGGCACATGGCCGTGCGGGTATGAGTGAAACCAGACGATGACCTCACGTACGCCTGATTCTATATATTAATTCTATAGAAAATGCATCGATGCAAACCCATCATGTACACACTGTATAATGCAATGGGTATATTTAAACGCCTTACGACGCATAAAAGGACGAGTTCTTTGGTTACTTAAAGCTTAATTACAAGAAAAATATTCTGAATTCTCGAGCATATTATGCATATGAGTTCATCACAAATTCATCCGAGTTATAAAGACTAAAACTGTGTGTTCCTGATCCAAAACATAGAGATCACTAACCAAGAGCAAAATTGAAAACCAACCAACCAAAGAAAGAAACAAAGGAAATAGTAGTACGTGCACAGTTTCTCGCAAAAGAAAGTGATGTATGCATATAGAGTATAGGCCTAAGTTAAATACTGAGGAGGCGTCGAGGGTGCAGGTTGTGGCGGCCTGATCACTGAAGCCCAAAACCCATGAACGGCGGCTTGGTTACCGCTATACACAGGGATCCCACCACGCAGAGGAGACGGCGCGTACCCGCTTTCTCCTTCTCCGGTAGTCGTGTTTTGCCCGTTCTCTTCATCTTCATATGACAACTTATGATAGGATGGGCTGTTGAATGGAGTTGCTATGACGTAGACCGGCCCCGCCGAGACCAAACTGCCAGAGACTAACCCTCCGATGACGTTTCCGTTGGGGGCGGCGAGGCTAACGGTGAGGGGTTTGGGGGGGTAATTCGAAGTGAGGGATTGGTGAGGGCTGAATGCGGCGGACATGGAGAGGATGACGTGATAACCGCGACAAGTGATGTCAGGAGCGGAAGCGACGGAGGAGACACAGAGGGAGGCGTTAACGACGGCGCCGGAAGCAGTAAGGATGCAGAGGCCGGTGCTCTTGTGGAGGCTAAACTGGGAAATAGCCCGGACGACGTCGTTGCCGTGAGGCACTTCGAGAACGTAAGGAGCCATCATGTCGTTGCGGGGTACGAGAGGACGAGCGGCCTTGGGCTTGTTCTTGGAGCCTTTAGGGCGGCCCCTGTGTTTCTTGGCCACCTCCACGGTGGCTCCGGGGCTGGACGTCTGCGTCCGAGAGGCAACAAATGATGAATAGTCGCCGTCCATCTCTATGCTTTCTCTGATAGTTTTCTTGGGCGATGACGGTGTTTGGAAGAAATTATTTTGGAGAAAAGAGGGGAGGAGAAGAGGAAAAAGAGAATGAGGAGGGTAGAACTATTGGTCTAATATTAAGCTAAAACGTACTACGCCGCCTTTGAACTTTGGAAGTCTGACCTAATTAGGGAATTTATATAGCAATTAATTAAGGAAAGAATATATGAGGAGTTTCCTTTTTTAAAACCACCTTTTTTAAAACCAAACCCTGCACACACACACGCACACCCCCTTTTAAACCAAGCTTTAATTTGCAGTACGGAAATATCAAGTTTTCTGTTCAGTATTCAGTTTTTATTATGATTGTTAAATGAAGCCCCGCTACGTCCAATACTGTTGAGTCTCTTTCTCGTTAGAGATACTTCACTTCACTGAGAGAAATTTAAGTCTTTTTCACTAAGCCTAATATATCTTCATATGGATGGAAATACTTCTCCTTGAGTCCTTAACTTTTCCCATTTTCAATCGCACATAACTTATTGTAAATAATAGCACTTTATAGTATAATTTATATTATAAAATAATTTTTATATTAAGTTCCGGGAAAAGTACACTAAGACTGAGCACCTGAAAAAGACATTTTATTTCCAACGAAAACGAAACTTCCGTCAAATGAAACTGTTCAAGCTTTGTAAAATCAAGACCAAACAAGCTCGTAAGATTTATTTTGATTTCTTCTAATTTTTTTATATATCCAATATTGTCTCATTTTTTTCTATACAGTATAGCCAATATTACCTTCAGTCCCTAATATAAGAGTTAGACAATTAATTTAATAATATTAAGATAATTTGTTAAATTAATGATTTATAATTTTTCTAATTTACTCTCTTTAATAATGCACATTGAAATTACTTGTTAGTTAAAAAAAATTATAATCAATATGGATATTTTGAAAATTAAATGAAGTAAGACTCTATAATTAGAATCAATCCAACCTCTAATTAGTTTTTATATTAAGAAAGAGGTGATATTTCCTAATTCAAGCATCATTAGATAAAATTTCTTCTTGTTTTTTTACGGGTAAAATTTCTTCTAATACTACCTTTGTAGTATAAGAACTAGTTAAAAATTCATCTAATTTTTAATTAAATTCTTATAATTTGTTTCCTTTATCATATCTTTACAATGTCATGTATTACTTCCGGTCCTTAATATAAAATCTCGTTTAACTTTTATTTTGGTCTTAAATATAAGATCCCAATCTATTTTGTCTCTAGTATTTATGTATTTTTTTCAAGGTAGTCCTTCTAATAATAGTAATTTTAGCCAGCACACTTGATTAGCAATGATATTTTAGGAAAGACAATACATATTTGTTACAAACAACTAATTTAACTTATTTTCTTAATCTCTTCAAATTAGTCAACTAGTTTTTATAATTAGGACCGGAAGTAGTAATTTTTAAATAGGTTCCTATATTCATCTTTTTAATCGAAATAATCATATTCAAGATATGGTTAAATTGAATTAAATGTTAATATTTTTCTCAATGAGGATTCAAATGTCGAATCCTCAAGTTCTGAAATACTAACCATTTCCACTGAAGTGAAAGCTTTAGTTCTCTGGATTTGATTTGTTCACGAAGGTGAGAGTAAATAACGCATTCTTTAATTTCTTCTGTTTTTTTCTCCTTCCGATTTCAAATCAATCGAAAGAAGTGTGCGAGCCACGTATCAATGTGGAGATGAATACCAATTTCAACTCCCATTTGTAAGCCTCTATAGATAGGCACCACTTCTTGGTAGTGGACGCTGGCACTGGGAGATGCGACTGGCTTCAATTGAACTCAAATCTTAATCAACCACCATCTGACTCCTAATGTGTCACTCAACACCAATCAACAGATCTTTTAAGTGCACACGACTTCTTTCTAGTGCGTGAAAACTGGGATTAATGTAAATCAATAATCACATCATCTCAAGACTTTTTTTTATTTCACCTTTTTTTTCACTTTTAACGGTATTTATTCTTTTTTATCTTGGGTGGACAGTTTTCATTTTCTCTAGTCTTTCACGACACAGAATAGATTAGACACCATATATAATGCTTTTGTGTTTTTATTGAGACCTTGAGGCATATAATCATAAATTCTTTTGAAATTCACGAATTTAAACCCCTGTGATGACTATATATGCGATGTGATCGGACATGCAACTAACTAGCAATGAAGTTTATAGTTGCATTGTCCAGGAGCGATTAATCTCCTTGACAAAATTAGAAATATTTGTTAAGCCGAGTGAACAAAATCATCTGTAAATTTCTTGTTAAATAGCACTTCATCATTGCACTGAATGAACAAAATGCTGGCCTTGGGGGACATGCCAAACATAATCCTTTCATTTTATCAAACATCATTATCATTGTCATTGATCACATTTTTTATAAAAACTATCCTACAAATCACACGAGATCGTAAAATAATACAGAGTAATTCGAGTAGGTTTTACATATTAACAGAGTCCGCTGGGTCACGCCATTCATAATTTATGAACAATATATTATTTTCGATTCTTAATATAAGATCTGATTTGATTTTTATTTTGATTCTACCTAATAAACTTAATCAACAAGGATATTTTAAAAAAAGCAACACTTATTTATTACAAATAACTAACTTAATTTATTTTTTTTAATTTACTCAAATGAATTAGTTAATTTTTATATTTAGGATCAGAAGTAGTATAACTTTCTGTGTATTTTATATTTTAAATAAATTTCAGCGAAACATGCTTGCTCGACTGGGCCGCTCGAAATGGAAATTTCCTTCCCAGGAATTTGAGCTGGGAAAGCGATCCGGATATAGAATTGGAAATCTGACATCAGAGAGAGCGATGGAGGGGGCCCTGTGGGACCCAGCTTTGACGGAGAATGGGTTCTTTCGACTAATGTTCGTTTTAGGCATGCTGCGGGCCATGACTTTGTCCTGTAATTCTTGCCGCCAAGCGCCCACCGTTTCATTCTTTTCTTATCCCCCCCCCCCCAACTTTTCTCTGTGGAGAAGATTGTATGGACGTAGTTTGTTCCTAGGAGCTAGTTAATAAATAAATGAGGAGAACTCATTCACAGAAATCAGGAGAAGAAAAAAGAGGCCGTAGTTGTCGTCTAAATTGAAAAAGCGAGCCGCTGGATTTTTCACATCCGAATTATTCGTGCCTGTGACAGGTTTCACCTGATATAAGAATCTTCTCGAACCAAAAAGAAAGTGGGGTAAAGAGAACAGAATCTCTAGTAATACATGTCACTAGATGCATAACAAGTGTGTTCCCGGCTTCAAGAGTTCTTCGTGCATAAGCATTATAATTCTGTAAACCATACAAAAGCTAAGCTCTGCTCCGCTCGGAAGCAGTATAGAGAATACAAACCAGCAGTCCAGGGTAAGATCAGCAATCATCTCAATTGAGAGTAGCAATATGGTCTAACCCAAAAGTTTGCAAAATTCTATCTCAACGTTATTATATTGATGCTATCACCCTCCCTTAACATTTTGGTTAATATTAGTTTGGTATGTGTATCTCCAGATGTCCTGCTCATAATTCCGTTGTCTTATTCGTCAATCCTAGCTCCTGTCGTGTCCCCCTTTCTTTTATACATAATTAGGGCATGCATCTTGTGCTATGATGAAAAAACAGTCTCAATTACAGTGAGATCTCAGTGTGCATTTGTTCTCGTGAACTTCCGCATAAGTGAGTGATTAGTGAATGCGATGAGTAAGAAACAAAAAAGGATGGAGCTCATAACATAGAATCACTTTAGTCGGTATGTTTAATAATAAAGCATAAACTGTCCGTAATTGACCTCGAAGTAGATGTAATTTACAAATAAAGAATAAAAATTAAGCAAATGAAATAACGAACAAAAGAAAACATTAGAGAAAGAAGGGGGTCGCTTAACTGCATCATCATACACGAGCCACATAGGAATTTGCCTGCGTAACATATCTCACCCATCGATATGGTTCATGGGTTCCAAACTTCTTCGCTATTTGCAAGTATTTCACCTGCATGAAATAAAAGTATTCAGCACTAAATATCTTATGCGACCGAAAAAAAAAAAGGACTCTGTATCTCCAGATGAACTCAGAGATCAGCAAACATTTGACATCACAGCATGTCAAAAACGAATTTTATGAAGAGTTCGTTCAAGCAAGACTTTTAGTTTTTGAGTCGGTCTTGGCATGACCAACATCGACTTGATCTGCAATTTGTAGCGACCAAAGTATAATAGAGGAAAAGTTATTTACAGAAGAGTAAACTCAAGGCAATCAGCAAGTTGGCATAATCTGTTTACCTGAAGACGTGATGCATTGTACATTGGTATGGTAAATGTCATGCTAACAGGTCCACATTCTTTAGTTATATTCCCTATTAAGAAATGAATTTGCATTAATGAGGATGTATTGACCATTCAACCTAAGAGACAACAGACTGTACCTTCTGTGACAAATCTAACGGTAAATACCATGTGACTCCTGAGAAAATGTTAGCTTTGCACGTAAAGTATGCTCAGAAGTCAGATCCACCAACAATCTGTTTCAAGAGCTTATCAGTACGTTTCTCAAGCGGAGATAAAAGACCAGAACTACATGGTTAAAATTAAAGCAATGATGAGACGATCAAGGAAAAAAAAAAGGAGAGGGAGAGAATTGACAAGCAGCATTGCCTTCTTTAAACTCCATTCTAGTCTCTTATTTGCTTCTTTAAAATCAGTTGTTTGACCAACAGCTCCGCGTTCCAGCCCAAAACTAACTGAGACAATTTAAGATAACAACTCAGATTAGTGACTATGAACATATCCCAGGCTGTTTCCTTGTAATTTAACCATAGTCCTAAACAATCAATTAGAGTGATCTATGTTGCCATTATGGTTGCGGAAAGTGCCCCCAATCTACTGGATGCACATTCTTTCAAGTTTATCACGCATATGATGCAGAGTAACGCCAGAAATTCCTTCAATATTAATTTGCCATAATTGTCCCGTTATCCATGAAATCTTTCATTAAAACAACACATGTGCCTTCAATATTGATCACAAAAATTGAGGATACCCAAAAAAAAAAAAAAAAA